CACACACACACACACACACACACACACACACACACACACACACACACACACACACATACACACATCGATAGAATGAGCAAAAACGGAATGAATCTTCCGCTGAAACGTGCAAATATACGCTGTCACTTTTTTATTTGCTCATTCTATCGATCCAAGTAGCATGCGGCGAGCCGCGATCACTCACATACACACACACACATAACACACACACATACATCGATAGGATGAGCAAAACGGAATGAACCTTCCGCTGAAACGTGAAAATATACGCTGCCACTTTTTGATTTGCTCATTCTATCGATCCAAGTAGCGTGTGGCGAGGCGCGGGCTGGAGATTTAGCCGCCGACCAAGGTTGGAGACCTTTCGTCTCTCTCTCTCTCTCTCACACACACACACACACACACACACACACACACACACACACACACACATACACACACACACATGTAATATGCAATAGTGTACATACCCATGTTTTAGCGGTAAATTCATTCGATTTTTATTTATTTATTTAATTATTTATTTTATTTTATTTTATTTATCCTATCGAGGGAATACTTATGAGGTAAACTGCACAATTGGAACTCACCTGTTCTCTCTCTTGTCGTCGTCGTCGTCGTTGAAGACTCGTTGCTCCCGCTCTACACGACGCAACATACCGCGACCACCGCACGGGGCACGAAAGGCACAATGTTGCAACCCAGCAGACGAGTCAGGCGGACGATAGGTAAGTCGCCTTTCGTCTCTCCTTCCCTCTCTTTCTCCTTTCCTCCTTCTCTCTCCTTCTTCTTCTTCTTCTTCTTCTCTCTCCTTCTTCTTCTTCTTCTTCTCTCTCCTTCTTCTTCTACTCCTTTGTGCTTTCTTCTTCCTCCGCGCGGTCTTCTCCTACCTCCGCGTGGTTCCCCCTTTCTACTCCCCACGCTAATTTCTCGTTGCTCCCTGTGCCTCAGGTACGTCGCCCCCGCTGTTGCTTTCTCTTCCTACTGCGCGCGCGCCCGCTGTTGCTTTCTCCTCCTACCACGCGCGCCCGTTGTTGCTCTCTCCTCCTACCGCGCGCTCCATCCCATGTCGCTACGCCCTCGCTGTGTTGCTCGTCGAGCACTCGGCCCGACCGTGCGGACCACAGTCGCGCGTTGCTGTGTCCAGAGTCGAGCAGATTTCGTAGGAACGAATCTGCCCGACTTTCCAGTGCAGATTCACAAAGTGAATCTGTGAAAAGTAACTACGAAGTCGGTGGGAGGACAAGGTAGTAAAAAACATAAAATAAATAAATAAATAAAAACGAATCTAACTGATTACAAAAAATAAACAGATAAATAAATAAATCTATTAACCAACTACCTACTTGTGCTAAGTGTGGAATCCCTGCTATAGTCGGATCCAACTACCTACTAACTCTAACTATCTCTATTATGGAGGTCGCGGGTTCAAGCCCCGACCGTTCATCCGCGGGTGAAGACAAAGTAAAGCTCCTTGTAAAAAGGAGCTAGCTCGGGGTCGGATGGATTCAATCCCCGAGTCACTTGATTCCCAATCTGCACTGATACCCATTGAGCTAGCCCCTATTTCGATTAGAAAGGGAGCAACTCAGGTACATGTTGTGGTGGGGCTCAGTCCGCCTAGTGGCCTGAGCCCGTTTCTAAGTCTGCGTGTGTGCACACCTGTCGGTCTGCATCCCTGTCTGAGTGCTCGCCGGCTCGAGTGTGCGTATGACCTGCAAGGTCATTTGTTTAATCGGAAGGCCCGTCGGACCGGTACTTAGTTGTGGCCGTGCCATTTGAGTGTCGCGGCGGGTAAAACACTCAAGCGGCGGGTAGGCTGGTACCTAGCTATGGTCGCGACACTGAAGGTCGAGGCGGAAAAAACACTCAAGTGGCAGGTAGGTCAGTGCCATACCAAGTAAAGGTAGATGTGTCTGGGTACTCTTGGCCGAGCAGGAGAAGGTAGAAACTGACCCTTTTAGACGCCCAGTTCAGGTAGGTAGCCTGATACGGGCTCAAGTCTCAGTGTGTGTCATAGATGTACCTAACATAGCACTAACCCAATCAATCCCTCGACCTTTTCGGTCGGAGGGTTTACTACCGATCCTAACCATCACAACGCGCGTCATAATAACGCGCGCGCATACTTAACGAAATTTTCTCACCGGTTTTGCCCTGGCCTCAACGGTCGGGGAAAGTCGTTTCAAAATGCCGCGCGAAGAACGCGTACACTTGTAAGTTCAGATTGACACCACCATGGTGGTCGACGCAATCGATGTGTCGATTGTAAAAACATGGCCAAATACCCTTGTAGGGTATTTGGTCTGACAACGCTCCCCTTCTCATGGTAGCTGTATGCACTCCAACCGATGCGGCGGACTCGAAGACTCACTGCTGCATCTTTTCGTGGCGGTGGCGGCGCGTGGAATGCCTACCACTTCGAATTTGAATTCCTGCCGCCACTGCTGCAAGGGCATGACAGAAAGATGTGTGCCCCTCGTGAGGGCATTTCAAGGACGGACCGACGAAACGCCACCAGCAGTCCAGTAAGGGCATATGAGAAAGTAGACCCCATGCTGACAGGGGCCTGCGGAAAATTTCAGAGGCCCAAGGGGCACCACAGGGTAAGTCGGCCTTCACAGGGGCACGCCGCAAATAACGCAAACTTCGGGGGCATTTCGAAAACTTCCACCCTAAAAAAAAAAAAAAAAAAAAAAACTTCCCACACCACACCACTCTTTCTCAGCTTGATTTTCCAATTTCGCGCTCTTTTCCACTGCTCGTCACCATCGAACTGACCGGACTCACGTTATTCGAAACTATTTTATTATTCTGTCCTTTCACCAATTCATGCGTACACTACCGGGGGCTAGGTCCCACTTACACGAGTTAGCACTATCTCACCCCATTTATGGCTGCACCTGGCTGGACTTGGATGTATCCAACCGCAATTACCGCTACGGTAGGCCTGTTGGTTGTGTTTTCTCAATCTATATTCAAATTGTCATCCTTGCTGAAAGGCGCCATGCTAATCTGCTCTGTATGGTTCCAATCGGACGTCCCGGAGGAAGTGGCTGTCCCGGTAAATCCTTCGTTTTTTTTCCGTCAGATGTCGATGAGCACGGTCCACGTCAGAGCCAGAAGTTCGGCGGACGCCCATCTGTATTGCTTTGGCGCGCAGTACAGCTGATCCCTAAGCTTTTGTGCAGTACCCATCATCTCATTAGTGCCCCCGGGCCGAATTAGTCGATCTTCATTCAAATCAGCCACGTGGCATCCCGGTGGTTGATGCAGCATTCTTCATCACCATCTTCTTGCGCTTGCAGAAGGAGGATGAACGATAATAATACCCCTCACCGACGTCGGACGACTGGGGAGGAGGAGGAGGACGACGATATCGACGAGATGGTGAATCAGCAAGGCTGCGGTAGGGTCTACGCGAAGCTGGAGTCCTGTTTAGCGGATCACGATCGGGATTGGAGGCACTGCCAGAAGGAGGTGGCGGATTTGAAAGCCTGCTATGCTGCCGCGACACAAGGACGACATGCATCTCCGCTTTCCTCCTCGTCTGGGCCGCCATCATCACCTTCTTCCTCCCTATCACCCTCCTCTTCCTGAGAACGACACGTGGCCTAAGCGTCGGCACAGGCCGTCGTGCGGGAGAGAAGGGAGAGAAGGGAGAGAAGGGAGAGAGAGACGAGGAACGAGAAGAAGAAGGGCATACTCCCTCCACGAGCTTCGCTACTATATCAGGTCGCAATGTGCGATACGAGGTAGGTTACAGCGCAGACAGTTATTCCTTGCTTGTGTATGCGTGCTGCCGGCGTTTAAACCCTAAACCCATCTTTCACCAGGATTATCCTGACTGAATGGTGACTGGGAATGCGGTCCGATTCCTGTTGGATAATGCTGGTCTGAGATCGGCCTAAGGAAGCGCGGAACAAGCGGACGACACCAGCGAGACGTTGGCAGCAACACCCTGCGGCATCACGATCACCATCAATCATCACCATCAATCATCATCATCATCATCATCGTCATCGTCATCATCATCTTCATCATCAGCAGTAGTTTTGACAACGCTGGAGAAGATGAGCTTCAAGTATCCACACTCGACATCGAGGAAGACGTGGAAAAGGGGGTTGCCACCGAATTGAAAGGCGTGTTGATCTTGATCAGCGCAGTAAGCATTTGGCCGATCGAGATTCATAGAGCCATATATGTCTTAGGACTGTAGAAGAATGGAGGCGACTGACGAACCGTTGTCGTCGCATTGCGATCCCGATGGTGGTCATGTGGATGGTGCTGCTAGGAGACCTACCGGGGTGTTGCAAGACGAATACGACATTGTCGATATCGAAGCAGGGGAGGCGCATACCATGGTTCTCACAGGTGACCACCTACTTTTCCCTCTCTCTCTCTCTCTCTCTCTTCTTCCAATTCTCTTTCTCTCTCTGTCTTCTTCAAACTCTCTCTCTCTCTCTCTCTCTCTCTCTTTCTCTCTCTCTCTCTCTCCCCCCTTTGAAGTATCTGTCTGTCTCTGTTCCTAATTGTCGGACCTTTATGTGCGTTTCACTTTGGACCGATTTGTGCCCATTCTTCGCTGAACCTCAAGCGCAAGTGTCATGTCGATTGCCTGTATGCTGCTACGATGGTAAATGGGCGGCGTCTGTGTCTCCACGTCCTTGTGGGCATCGCCTGGCTACCATGGATAATGAGTGCAGGGGTTAAGGAGAATCGAAGAGATCACGCTCCTTCGTTTGCAAAGCGGTCCAGGGCCGCTGGCCACCATGATGAAAACCTGGATGTGCGATGAGGAGATGGGGCAACGGCGGGGGTCTGTCAAGCGGGAAAAGGCATGCCCTCAAAGCACGGCCGCGAAACAGATGCCAGTCCCTCAAACCCCATTTGACCCCTCTCTGTTGCCCCATTTAACCCCACCGCGTACCTGACCCCGTTGGAATGACAGTGCGTTGTGATATCTGATTGTGTCATTTGTTGACGTGGCGTTTGACGACGCGGCATTTGACGACGTGGCACCCGATGCCGTTGGATCTGATGACGTGGCATCCGATGACGTTGGATCTGATGACGTGGCATTTGATAACGTGGCATTTGCTGTCGGAGTATTTGATGACGTGGTATTTGATGTCGGAGTATTTGATGACGTGGCAAGTTGATTTGATTACGTGGCGAATTGATTTGATGACGTGGCATTTTGAATAATGACGTGGCATTTGGTGACGTTGGATCTGATGACGTGGCATTTGATGAGCGTCAACAACATTGACTCGTGAAGAAGGTGGTGGGGAACGGTAGGAGGAAGGAAGGCGGCGGTGCCAACAAGTATTTTCTTATTATTGATTTCCTTCGTCAGTCATTCGCGTGATTTTCTTCTGTGCAGTTCTCCCCTTCAGTCTACCAACCTGCCTTCCCCTGGGACGACGGGGCTAAATACAGATTTCATTATTTCGATTAATTTTTAATAGAATAGGAGGAGGGAGGCAAACACGATCGGAAGATCCGACGGAAAACCCTTTGTTCGCCGCTGCTGCGACATGCTGCTGATTGATTACACGTCGTTAATTTTCTCTCTGCTGTACCTGAGATACATGTTGCTGGCTGCATACACATGTCGCACTCTTAGACCGCACTCTCGCTGGCACTTCCCTGGATGTATCTGACTGCAATTACTAGGGAAAGGGAGCGAGGGGGGTTAGTTAATGAATGTCTGCTAGATGTTTCTTTCATTTGCTTGTCTTTGCGCGCCTTTCACGTCTCCTTGGCACGTTCTTCATAAACGACATGTCTTTACTCATGAAATGCCTGCCCTTTCAAGTTGTTTTTTTTTTTTTTTTTTT